GAATTGTCTCTCTTTAGTTTTGCAGATAAAAGGAACGTGAGTACGGTTCAGGGGAATGTCGTATAATTTTTATGTAGCTCAAAAGAACATTTCTTCGAATATATTTTGCCAAATAAGGAAAACAAAGTGTAGAAAATCGGCGGGCTATTTTCTAAAGCTCTTCTTACCCACCGATGCTATTTTGGCACATGGGCAGCCGAAACCGGATGTCATTAAGGGGTTGTGTTTGTAAACAGTGAAAGGGGGTCTATAGGGTTCGTGTACTTTTGCAAATGAGTTTCAAGCACATGCGTGGTCTTGTGGTGGAATACTCGACTGCCTCGGAGTGGCCGTGTTGAAACCCATCCTATCCTGTTTTTTTTATTTAATTTGTGTCTTCCCTATTTTGCGTTATAGCGGTAATGGACACTGGTGGCGGCGCACAGAAAGCGGCAGCGTTGTTTTGATCTCATAACAGCTTTTAGCGTGAAACGTCGTACGTAAGTTAAATATTTTCGCAACGGCATATTCCAGCCAATCACGACGCGGGACATATCATTCGTGAAGCCGGCTGACGAAGGGGGAAACTTGCTTAAGAAAAGAATGTTTTGTTGATTCGGTCACTGTCTGCGACCATGGTGAGTTGCGCCAGGTTGAAAGGGTCAATGAATCAATCAATCAATCAATCAATCTTTTGGCATGTAATTTTGATCACATATCGCCTGACCACGTTTCCATGAAAGTTACCAGGCATACTATACCCTCGTCCTTCCTTGGTCCCACGTGATCTGCAAAAGATTGGCCAGCGAAGCTGTTGCATACAATAGCAAACAGTATCGCAAAATCAATTCAGCTGCGTTGGCGCTGGCTGTCCGCTTCATGAGTGAGAGCTGACATTGGACGAACTTAATATACCTTGCTGGTGATCGTTTGCCCCGCCGTGGTGGTCTATAGTGGCTAAGGTACTGGGCTGCTGACCCGCAGGTTGCGGGATCGAATCCCGGCTGCGGCGGTTGCATTTCCGATGGAGGCGGAAATGTTGTAGGCCCGCGTGCTCAGATTTGGGTGCACGTTAAAGAACCCCAGGTGGTCGAAATTTCCGGAGCCCTCCACTGCGGCGTCTCTCACAACCATATGGTGGTTTTGGGACGTTAAATCCCACATATCAATCAAATCAATTGCTGTTGATCGTTTCATTAGGTCACGTATACGCGTCTACCCCGACTCCAACGCTTGACCGAAGAAGAAAAAAAAATGGCTTGTGTCCGACGTGACGGCGAGGGCATTGTATTCGAACTCGTGTTTCGACCACCGTGCCTGCACGGAACGCACTACGGATTCCACGAGGCCCCGGAAGTCGCATCTGGGGTCCTCCCGACGAGGCCTCTCAATCTCGCGTGGCTGTCACTTCCGTCGTTTTCTCCGTCGTGCTTCCTACGCGCGTTCTCGCGTCTTCATTTCAAAACAGCCCGCCCGGTAGGCTGACCGTTGCAACGCCGTAGGACCACTGAATCGACTCGTATACAAATAATTTCCGCATCTCCGGGTAGCAGTGGGCGAATTGACAGGTTAAACATCCGTCGTATATGCGATGTTTCGCAGGCCAAGTCGGCGGTGCGTGTGTATACGCACGCTGTCGCGCACGCTGGCCGAAGGGAGGGACGCCACCCAGTCGTGAGAAAGAAACAAAACGAGCTGTACACGCGGGAACGCCGCAGAAGAAATCGACCAGGCTTCGCCGATTCCTCGACGAAACGCGGTTCGAAGCCGCTTACGTAAGGACGCGTTCACGCGCCTTTTCGAAGTCGTGCAGGGCTCGCCGCGCTTCGACGTCACGCGACGGCCGTATGATGCGCTCCTCCGCTCACAACGCGATCGATCGCTTTTGCATAATCGGTACACGCGGCGTTCTCCGGGACGCATCGGTGCGGTGACGTGTGGCATGCGCGATTTCCGCGCTGATGCGCGACGCCGAGGCGTCGGCCGGGGACTCCTTCGAGGTGGGCAGGAGCGTCCGTCATTTCGCCTGTACTGTTTCGCCTGGCTGACTTTCGCCTGGCTGATTTTCGCCTGGCTGTTTCGCCTGGCTGATTTTGCCTGGCTGAATTTCGCCTGTCTGATTTTCGCCTGGCTGATTTCTGCCTGGCTGTATTTGCCTGGGTGCTTTTGCCTGGCTGATTCGAAGGTCGCGGAACCGAATCCCAGCCGCGGCGGCTGAATTTCGATAGAGGCGAAAATGCTCGCGGTCCGTGTACTTAGATCTAGAATAGAATGGAATGAAAAAAGAAACTATCTTGAGTCTGGATGCGCATTGAAAAACTATATACAGGTGGTTGGAATTTCCGGTGCCCTCCATTATAGCGTCCTTCGCAATCATATCGTGGTTTTAGGACGTTATCGTACGTCGTCTGATGCGCGTGAAGTTAGCGCGGGCACCCTGCCCACATAGCGCGCGGCTTTTACACGGTGTAGTGATTCGAACGTTGTTGCGGAAACCGCGAGCCACACTATAGCTCCGATGACATTACCTGCTTGCGACAGGCTTTCACGTGGTTGTGGTGCCACCGTCGGTTTATTATCGAAGCTTGGTGCGCAAGTCCGGCCAACGTCTTCGTACCGGTTGTCCCGCTTACTCACTTTTATCGACTGCATGTGTGTGTCTGTGTGTGTTTGCTTGTTTGTTTTCGTTTGTTTGTTTGTTTGTAACGGGTATGTGCATGTCTGCGCGCATCTGATTACCAACAAAACAGAAAGGGGTGGGGACGTTAAATTTTTATAAGCAGGCCCAGTGCCCACAACCTTTAAGAACCCCTTAATAAAGAACCTATGTACAGTATGGTCCCCTGTTAAAATCAAGTATGGAAGGGATCGTCAGTATTCGTTATACACATCTAATACGCTAACACTTTCAAGCTATATGTGCATGCTGAGATAATTCTTACAGGTCGTATATATAGGTAGCTCTTCTTTCTACAAAGCCAGTCTGTCGCGGTGACTCAGTGCTCGTAGCGTTTCTGGGCTGTGCTAGGGGGTATCGGGTTCGAATGCCGTTCGCATCACTGCTCATGGATGGAGGTTTTAGGAAAGTTCATGTAACGTCGCTACCCTAAGACTGTGCAGAGTCGGGGTGTTCCAAGCCCCAGTTTACTTTCTGAATTATTAGATTTCAACGAGCATTGTTATTCTCAGGGTTGGAGTGAGGTATTAGTTCGAGCTTCGAAGGAAGGGCCAAGCAATTGTTTTCGACTAGCTGTTTTCGTAAGATATATGCTTTCGGCAAAAAGTGAAACGGTCACTTTTGCCGTCAAACGGCACTTGGTAGGACAATCAAAGTAAAAGGCATCGCTCTCGCGGGAATTTTCACGCGTTACTGTATTGACGGCACTGATTCTGAGGGTGGTCATTCGAATTCAGTTCTTTAGCTATAACACAGCCAGGTAACTACGTAGGTTTTTTTCAAAATATGTATAAAAGATACACTTAGTAAACAAGTTTTGAAAGCTCTCGCTGCTCCAGAAACAGCCCAAATAGCATTAGATAATTTAAAATCAATGACGGCACACTGACGCAATCCGAGGTTTGGGCGCGAAATTCAAGAAAAAAGAAAGTATGCTTTTAATTACCATTCATTGGAATCGACCATTTTGACCCAAACGAACAAGTAGAGGTGTTTCTAAATGATAGTAACACCAAATATAGAGCTGAAAGAGCTCATTTAATGCAAACAATTTCGCACAGTGATTCCTAAACAAGCAATACAGACGTTTATAGAACGATCTGGCGTGAAGTGGTCCACTGCATGGAACCAAGGCATGCTTCAGCTTTTTAAACTTACACTTCGAGAATGTGAGGTTTTCTCGTTACTAATCCGACAAGTTATATTGTCAGAACGCCAGGCTCAGGCCTCTCCTTGTCGAAGGTTTGTTGAAGACGAGAGTGACCGCCGAGATGTTGTCTTCAGCGACATTTTCTTGCTCAGTGACTGTTGACAGTGACCAGCATGAGCAGAATATATTTCTTTTTGTGTTGAAAACAAAAGCTGGTTTTTTCGACAGCTGAACAGAGTTAGTTGAAAGTTATCACTAGGCGAATTTAGGTGTATGAAGTGTGAGGTCACAATTCCACAATAATCGTTGCTTTGATAACAGTTTAGTGTCTCTTTTCGCAAAAGCATGGCCCTCTACTTAATTCATTCTCTGCCGCAGACATAAGATTTTGCTCTCAGCTTTTCCCAGCTGCCTCTCGAAACTACCCCAGCAATGTTAACAGACGCCTCAGGTTGCGGCGGAATCAGTCAGGAAGAGCAATGGGAATGTTATTAACGTTTATATTAAAGTCCATATACATAGATCAACATATTCGCTCTGTTTAGATCGCGGCCAAGTGTTTTACTGTGTACACTTGCCTTGTTGTTTCACTAAGCGCGTGAAACGTCAGTTTAGATCATGCACACCTCTGGTAGATGCACATGCAATGACTTAGTTATCAGGTTCTTTGTAATTTCCACCTTAAGTTCGACACGTGTGCAGAGAAGCCGGTGACTAAACTTTCCAGGAGATCTCGACTAAGAAGCAACACGCTCCCTTCTTTCCCAACTCATTGCTTCCTTCGACACTGGGCGCGGTGTCGTCAATGAAACAATTAGGGTTTGATGCAATCATTCTTAAGACCAATCGTGTGCAATCGCCTTCGTGGAATCGCCGGCAAAATTGGCTAAGGAAATTTGCATCCAGCCAGCAATAATAGTCAGCTAATGCCTTCGCTATTGTTTCCAGAGCTGCTCGAGCCAAGGACGAACAGTGATTGCCGCGGGGCACTATGGTAAACCTCTAGACGCTGCGTCATACAAACTTAGCATTGTTCATTCAATCGAAGGCGCCCCTGTAACCGCGTGTTTACCAAACCGCCCTGACAGTGACGCGATTTCCCGCTGTATCCCGTCACAAGCCTGGCGATACCAGCTGACCCCGTGGTACCCACCAGCCACTTGTAGTCGTTGGAGCATGAGACTCTTCACTCACTTTTGGGCATTCCGCAGGGCCCTTTGGTTCGGCCGTTGTCGAGAAAGTCCAAGTCGTACCGTCTCGCCGGCGGGAAGGTTAGGGCTACGTGCCCCAGGCACGGAGGTAGCACCAGGGCCGCCGCGAAGGCGGCGGCGATCACCAGCGTTGGCCCACGCATGACTGCAGCCACAAAGCGATCGACCGAAACGACGAGCCGCCGCTGCGGCTTCCAGCCGTGTCTATCACACTTTCGAAAAGCGGCAGCAGCAGATGGACACGGACCACAAGTAGATGACGCGCGTCTTCTAGATCACAGCGGCCGATGGCGCACAGCCGGCATGGTGCCGAGACTACCAGGTGGACACGGTGAGCCGCACTCGTCGCAAGGAGGCACACACTTTCAGGAACGTGTCGGCACTGTCTGCTGGTATCTCGAACAGCTCGGGGTCGTCGGTGGTCTTTCGCTCACAGACTTCTTGACTAGTTTCGTTGTCGTCGGGGGTCGCCGTGGCAGTCTGCGCGGAGGGCAAGCGCACTGAGAAAGGAGGCGGTACACCTGCGCACCACCGACCCGTTCCGCTCGCTCCCAAGACTGGTCGCCGAGGGCTTCGCCGGCGTTTCACCGTCGCTGGCGGCCGGCGAAGCAGAACGTGGCGAGAAGAGGACGGGGGAAGGGCCCGGAAAGTGTGCTTTCCTTCTCTACTTTTACACCGGCCTGGCCGGCAGCGTGGCGAACGAGCTTGCAAAGCGATGACGAAGACTGCGAAGTACAAGAGGGAGAAGGCGCGGCGACGCCGTGCGCTGAGCCACCAGGGGAATAGACAAACACGCAGAAAAAAGACAAGCCCCGCCGCGAGAACCTGTCCTCTACGTCGCAGCGGTGGAGTGGAGGGCCGCATTCCTCGGATGGCGAGCAGGTAGGCAGGCGGGCGGGTGGGCATGTGAAGCGGAGCGCCGTCGACGTCGGCCTGGTTGGGGCGAGCTGTCGGCGCCGGAAGGACCAGGTGAAACGGGTGAAAATGCGCCGAGAGAAAACGGGCGGCAGCGAGCGCGAGAAGACGTGGCGGAGCTAAAGAAAAGAGAAGTTAGCGAAGAAGACGAAGAGTAACGGCAAATATATGCCGCCCGCCCGAGGCGACGTGGATACGACACGTTACACACGAGGAAGGCCGAGTAGCGGTTCGCTTCCCAGCGCGCGTGCACAGACGTGCCTTCAGGGGGGTACACGACCGCGGGATCAAAGAAGGAAGAGGAGCGTGCCATGGTTGACACCCCCCAGTGACCTTTGGAACCAGTCCTTCGCTCACCTCGTGCCGCGATTATAACGGGCAGGCCGCATATCTCGGCCCCGGTGGCCGGCGGCGATATTTATCGATCAGCAATGATCAGAGAACGGGGGACGATCATCGTGCAACGTTCCAAGAAGTACGCGGCTGCTGGTCACAAAGGCCTTGGGTGGGCAGGACTTCTTGAGCCTCCGGTGGTGATTGCGTCGTGGAAGGGAGACGTCGTTGATCGACTCTATAGGAATTTTCGAAGAGTGGGAGCCTGGATCGCCTTTGAATCTTGATCGTCACGTGATTGTCGAAGACGTCTTGACTAACGGGCAGTATGATCTGCGCAGGTGGAGTGTCTTGAAGAAATCGAGCGCTTAGAAAATTTGAAAGCCGAAGTTTCCTTTGTGGAGTTTTTCCACGAAATAGCAAGTGCTCTCGCGCCTGTGGTTGACGTCGTCGACTGAATTATTTTTGCGCATTTAGTCCGTTGTTTTATAGACAAGGTTCCCCACAGTTTTCAAGGTTTATTCTCTCTTGCCTCGCGTAGTCTTCACAATCTTTATGAGTGAACAAACAGATGACTGGTAGTGCAAGCATGTGGTCGAAATACTTAAAAAGAACTAAAATTAAATTCGTGACCAATGCACTTCAGTCCCTTCTGGCTTACCAGTAAAAATAGCATCTTTCCTCGCGCAGTCGGCAAGACTGTTCTTTTTATGTAACATATGTAAAAGCCAGCAGCTCAGCTTAACAATTCCCTTCTAATCCCGTTTGCCACCGAAACCATCACAAACACAAAATTGGTCGCACTCTGTAATGACGACCCATTTAACATGCAATCACTTGTGTAAGTTCCGTGTAGAGCCATCGAGATAATCGCCTATGTTCTCAATTGGCCCAGGTGGTCAAAATTTCCGGAGCCCTCCACTACGGCGTCTCTCATAATCATATCGTGGTTTTGGGACGCTAAACCCCACAAATCAATCAATCAATCAATCAATCAATTGGTTCGTCACTATTCATCGTTGGACAGCTTTCAAAAGTTGTTTATGTCCTGAAGACTATTTGCACATTTTACCTCCGCTAGCCTCCAGATAATCAGGATAAATCGCGATGTACTTTGTAGATACCCTTCGGCAGAAATGGCTAGATATGTCCTCATGTGGTATGTGGACATTCGTCATTAAAAAAAAACAACACTTCGAGATAGCTGGTATGGCCGTCAACTATGACCTTTAGGTTTAGCTTCTCGCATTTTGGTGCAGGCGAAGTACTGAAGCCCGTGTACGTTAATATAGGTGCATGTTAAAAAAATGCCAGATGATCAAAATTTCCGTAGCTCCGCACTACACGGCCTCCCTCACATCATGATTCATGAACGTTGAACCCAAACACCTATTATTATCGATTTGGTTGCTGCCATATACGAACATAAGGACGGCATCAATGTTTGTAACGGACAAGCACTCGGGAAAATGGAATACGTTCTCGACTTATGGCTGAAGTTCATCTTTCATGAACAGAACCTCTAGCTTGCTTCGCTTCCACCATACGGCACCTCCAGATGGTACCTTCGAGCTGTTGAGCGCCACGCCCTTAGCTTCACGGCCTGCAGAAACGAAACCGCATCGTTAATTGGAATATCCCCAGAAGTCTCACTGTTAGTGACGAAAATGCATTATACCTCAAAACCGGTGTGCTATGCTTGCCCTTTCATCACATGAGCGTGAGAAGTCGGGCCTAGATGAAGGCGAAACATTCCTCCATACAAGCTGTACCGTACACGGAACTTACTTCCTCCTCGGTATTATCTCAGTCCACTTTCGGTCAGTATATCGTCAGAGTCTTTCTCGCAGCTACTTAAGTTAATAATAGATAATCGTCACCTTACAAACTTCCTTGTGCTTTACGCTGGCTGCACTTTCACCTTCCGATTGGTGCCCAGCGCTTTATATATAGCCTAATACCCGTGCCACACGGGCAGAGAAAATGGCGTTTACCCTCGAATGCCTTCAGATTTATTGCCATTCGCGCGGTGCCACACGGGCGAACGAAATGGCATTCGTCCGAATGCCATTCGCCACCAAATGCCTTCGCCAGAACTCAGTTGACTGAGAAATGCCTACTCTCAATGACACAGCTCGCGAAGTGCGATTTACCTTAAAGTAAATAAAACAAATCATATTCAGCTAAAAACAAAACTTCCCGTCTTTTATTTGCACTAAACTTTTAAAAAAGTGCTTTGAACGTTATACGAAGATCAGGTTGAAATGGTTTGAAATGAATTGAAGCTCAATATCCTGAAGCTGGCGCATAATAACTCGCCTCTACTCCAGAATTATTCGCTCTTGAGCACGATGCTTTGCACGGAAACACACAAGTGCTGCCGTGAAAAAATGAACTCTGCGAACATCTTCTTCTGAGAGATGCGACAGGCGCCACTTTCTAATTACGCTGTGGATCTGACTAGTGTTGGCTTAGGTTGCTACGGTCGGCTGCAACGTCGTAAAACAAAGTAAGAAACTACAACTTAGGGCAGCGTAATATGCTTATTTCTACTTTTAATGATTATATGATGTGTATGAAGCTTGTAAACACTTGTTTATTTTTTTTTTATTGCTATTCCCCCAATGCTCACTTGGAAGGTGCTGCGATTGACATCATCAAGTGAAATGTCATTCGCTTTGGACGTGTAGCAGCGCCGGCGAAACAAATGTCATTCGGGAACTGAAGGCCTTCGCCAAACTCCTCTGGCGGCACATCGCCACGAGTGAGCCTGATGGCTTAAAGGGCTACTTACACTAGTTTTCGTAGCTATCTTCACCCCTCCGTACAGATATCCAGTTTAGACCTATATTTCATGTTTGTAAACGGCGTTAGGCGCCGTCAACATACTGAGGCGCTTGTAGCGACGTCGCTTCGCGTGAGCTCCGCCCAGCCCGAAGCTCGCCACGGCCACCCATGACCACGTGAGTGCTGGATCGGGTTGATTCCGCGCCGGACTGAACCGGGTTGATTGGCGGAACGAGGGAGAGGCCTCTTCCCTGCAGTGGGCGTAGTCAGGCTCATGATGATGATCATGGTGATGAACGTGTGTGTAACAGTATATAATTGGTAACAATCACTCATTTGGCTGTCGTTGCTCGTATATGGGCGTCTATTGTGGACCATCGCAAGGTATTTGTGACGCAAGACGTGTAATCACATTCAGTTCAGTCGAACAGCTTAAGTACGTGTTTTGCCCCACTTCGGTGGTCTAGTGGCTAATGTACTCGGCTGCTGACCCGTAGGTCGCGGGATCGAATCCCGACTGCGGCGGTTGCATTTCCGATGCAGGCGGAAATGTTGTAGGCCCGTGTGCTCAGATTTGGGTGCACCTTAAAGAACCGCAGGTGGTCGAAGTTTCCGGAACCCTCCACTGCGGCGTCTCTCATAATCATATGGTGGTTTTGGGACGTCAAACCCCACACATCAATCGAGTGCGCGTTTCAAGCTGCGTCTCCACGCTCGAATCGGACCGCTACGCAAGAGCAGCTCACGACTTCTCACTCGACGAGAAGCTCCCAATATACGTGTGCATGTGCGGGCACGAGATTCCTCGTTGAAATCGATGATGCGAAACCGTTCGCTTTAGGAAAGTAAAAGCCGCGACCTTCACTGACTGGCCGTTTAGCCGAGGAAGAAAAAAAATATGTAAAAAATGTAAGGCTCGTCATGATGAGGGTATCGAACTCGGGCGTACCACGAAGTGCGCACAGCCAAATTGTTTTTTATTTACGTTTCTTTGTTTGCTTATTCGTACTATTTGTGGGAGCTATACGCGGCGACGTGAAGAAACAGCTGACCTCGGAGGCAGGTGAGCGTTTTCTTTTTCTTTTGGCACAGAATTCGACGTCTTGGAACTGTACAGCATGTGTGGCAATGTCCTCTAACTTGTCTCCTCTTGCTTCTACTTGGTCATTTGGGAACGCGGCGCACAAGCATCGACTTGAAGCGCGGTCTGACCTCTTCAACGACGAAGTACTTTTTGCCCAGAAGAAAGAAAAAAGGATAAATTTAAGGAGAGGGGGGAGGGGCGGAGGTTTCGAAACTGTCTGTGTATTCGAGACTACGGCTGAACTCTGTGATCGCTGGTTTGTTCGGTGCCTGATGTGCACTGACTCATTCTGATAGAGGCGCAAAGTGAAAAATCCCGTGGGCTCCGGTGATTTGGATGCATCGATTGGTCTAAGCTCTCCCGTGGTGTAATAATAATAATAATAATAATAATAATGATAGTACACCTTTAGTGGTGAGCAGAAGAGACGTTTACTT